GGGTCGGAATGTCCCTTAACCCTCAACTCAAACACAGCAGTATTGAGGTCAGAACACTTGGAATACCAGGAATCCAGGCTATAGAGTGACAGAAAAATATCCACAGGTGGAAAGAGACAACCTGGCAGGACAGAGGTGTGTATTTGTGAATTGGGAGACATAAAACAGGCGGTGTAGGCACAGAGGAGTGGGGGAACCCCTTTGGTAGAGAAACAAAAGGAAGAGAAGGAGAGGCTGTGGCAGTGTGGGATTGTATTTGGACAAGAGAAAAACCTCCCTGGACCACAGACTGGGGAACAAAAAATACAGAGAGAGCCAGTGTCTACTTTGCAAATAGCCTTAGGAGTGAATATCAGAGTTTTCAGGGTTGCTCGACTTTCTCCAGACTGGAGCTGCTGCCTGTGGGGGAGGGAGCCAGCCCCAGGGCTCAGTATCAATCTCAGGGGCGCCTTGGGAGGGGACAGTCCCCTTCCTTGAGTTTTGTCTTTATGCTAAAGGTAATGAGCAGCTTTGAAAGAGTTTAGCAGAGTGAGATGATCATATTTGCACTTAAGGAACATCAGTTCAGTGCATTAGTGTAAAGAATTTATACTGCAAAGGGGAAAAATTCGAATAAGTTGGAAGACTATTTAGGGAAGAAATGATGAAAGGTTTGTCTGGAATAGCAGTAATGGAGTTGAAGAGAAGATAACAAATGACTTTTCATTCATGCATTTGTTTATTCAACAAATACTGTTGTGGATCCTGTGCTAAGCATTGAAGATATATCAAAAGAACAAATCTGGTCCGTGTTACCTTCACTAATGGTAGTGAAGAAGACAGTTAATAAACAAGTATATAAATTATAATCATAAACATGTAATAAAGGAAATAAATAGGGTACCATCATAGGAGGAGGGGGAGAAATGGGATGGGAAGACCTGTTTGTATGGGGTTAGAGATCTCCTCTCTAAGGAGGTAACATTTAAGCTGAGACTTGAAAGATAAAAGATCACTTGGCCCAGATTTCTGGCTTGGACAACTGGAGGAACAGTAGAAGAGTGGCTCCCTTCACTTGAGAAGCAAGGTTTGGCATAAAAGTGATGGCTTCAGTTTTATATCTATTACATGTGAAGTGCTTACAAGACATCCATGTGGAGATGTCTCATAAGCACTTAGCTATCTACACCTGGCACTCAGGAAAGATTATTGGATTGGAGATAAAGGTTTTGGAGTCACTTGTACATAGATGAATTTTGAAGTCCTAGAAGGAATGAAATTGTTCAAGGTGACTGTGTAGAATGAGAAGAGTAGATGCCTGCACAGAATCCCGATGAAACCCTGTATATAATTATCTATTGACTTATCTATATCTCTTACTTATGGATAGCCACTTGGAAATGTTTAGTTTTTTCTCTATTATAACTCTGGTACCTAGCCCAGTCTCTGAAAAGAACAGGGCTTTGGTATGGGTTGGATAGATGGGGTAGGTGGATGGAAGAAAAAAAAAAAAAAGATGGGTGAATATACAAGTAAATGAAGACACTAACACTTGAGGATGAACGGCAGAAGAAGAACCTGCAAAGGAAAGAGAGGAACTGGCCCAGGAAGTGGAAGAAAGACAGAAGATTATGGTTTCATGAAAGTTGAGAAAAGAGAGGTGCCAAGAAGGAGGGAATGGTCAGTAGTGTCAGATTCTGCCAAGAAAATGTAGTAAGAAAAAGACTCAAAAATATCCATTGGGTTTATCAGGTAATCTTATCTGTGGCAAGATCAGTTTCAATGGATTGGTGGGGGCCAAAACTAGATTTCAGTGACTTTAAGAATGTGTGGAAGTGTGGAAATAGATTGAGTGGAAATAGATAACTCAAGAAGCTTGTTTGCATGGAGAAGAGAGACAAGGCATTTGCAAAATGAGAGCACAGGGTCCAAGATTTATTTACAGTGGCAGAGAGGAAGTCTAGAAGGTACAGAATTCAGAACTCAAGTAGAGAGTTAATCTTAACTGGGAAGAGGGACCCTTCTGTTATGGCAGAAAGGAGGAAGGAAAGGGTGGACATAGATTCTGAAAATTGTACTACTTTGGTAGCAGGAAGTTGAGGACATTCTCTTCTAACTGCTTCTGCTTTATCTGGGAAATAATAAGGACAGACCACTTGTAGATGAGGTGGGGAACTGATAACATAGTTGGATGTTTGAGGAGAGAACTGACCAGAGAAAGATAGCATTGCATCATTGAAGGGAAAGATTAGACTGACACCAGTCTGCCACCATAAACTTTACAGTTTTGTAGTTTTCCTGCTGCAGCATTCTATAGCCCAACTGCAGGCATAAAGAAGAGGAATAAGATTAGAGTTTTGTTAGGTGGGCAAGAGAAGGAACATGAGTCAAGGTAGTTGAGGATTTTGGCAAGACAGTGGTTAGACAATGGCGGAGGACTGAGTAAAGACAAGGATTCGGGGAAGTAAGAAGGCAGGGCATCGGGTTGGGTTATCCACATGGACATCCAAGTGACTCAGGTTGATGACAGGAGGTGGAAATGAGAGGAAGTCTGTGAACTCAGCACCAAAGTTTTATGTGGGAAGGTGGAAGTGGAAAAATAGTGGCCGGGACATTAGTTTTCTCTCTGTAGGCCTTTCCTCAGTGCCCCATTCCCTTCACCTGTCACAGTTCCCTTTCTAGTATGGTCTCTCCTGAGGGAGTGGTATGAGTTAGGTTAAGGGAAAACTCTGTTTAGTGTTTCTCATGTAGGTAGTTTCTGCCTATTCATAAGGCTTGCTCTAGGCCTATTTTTAAATTGATGTTGCCAGTTATTGTAGTAACCAATCTGGTTAGTGGGGTGACTGGATGTCCGGTATTATGTATGGGCAAACAGATCCCTACGATCTCTCACTAGCTCCTTTCTACAAAATTTTAGCCTGAACTTGAAGTGAATTTTGAATGGAGCTTAAGTCATGTGGGCTGGTTATAATTCCTACAGCAGTTATCAGAATGTGCTTTCAAGTTTTCAGAGTCATTAGAACAGATGAAATCCATGTTTTAGTCACCTTAAATTCTTCCCTCGTGATCTGGCAATTGATTGGAATATAGATGAAAGAAAACAAGGGGGAAAACTTTACGTATTGATTGACTGGATTCAAGATACCTGTCTCTGAGATTTGTCCATTTGTTTTATTTTAGGTAATTTATTACTTGGAGTTATGTCATTGATTAGTTTTTAATATTGGTAAGAAAAGGGAAGAATTCAGATTGTTCTTTTTTCACAGATGTCTGTCTACAAAGATCAATAAAGGAAAAAATATTGAATTCTTTGTGTTATTTCCACCTTTGCCATTAAATTGTATGATCTTTGACAAGGGACTGATCAGCTAGTTTTCTCACCTATAAAGCGCTGTATCTGTCTGATGTGTTGACATATCCACAGGTCCCTGGGACAGGCATCTGTACCTCCCTGGATTTGTGTGTATACTTCCCTGGATGTATCTGTGCATGTGCTGAGGGTATCCCCATTTTGCCTCTCCTTGTTTCTGTTTTTCTTGTTTATCAGTGTTTACTTGGTCCCTTATCATTTTGATTGCTGTTTTCCTAATCTTAAAAGCATGCTTACATTTTTTTAAGTTTTTTTTTTTTTTAACATTTATTTATTTTTGAGAGACAGAGCTCAAGTGGAGGAGGGGCAGAGGCGGGGGGGGACACAGAATCTGAAGCAGACTCCAGGCTCTGAGCTGTCAGCACAGAGCCCGATGCGGGGCTTGAACTCACAAACCGTAAGATCATGACCTGAGCTGAAGTCGGACACACAACCAACTGAGCCACCTAGGTGCCCTTGAGCATGCTTTTGAGCATGCTTACATTTTTTTTTTTATTTAAATTTTTTTTTTAACGTTTATTTATTTTTTTGGGACAGAGAGAGACAGAGCATGAACGGGGGAGGGGCAGAGAGAGAGGGAGACACAGAATCAGAAACAGGGTCCAGGCTCTGAGCCATCAGCCCAGAGCCCGACGCGGGGCTCAAACTCACGGACCGCGAGATCGTGACCTGGCTGAAGTCGGACGCTTAACCGACTGCGCCACCCAGGCGCCCCGAGCATGCTTACATTTTAAGAAGAATACTAAAATACTAGAAAATGTCAAAATAAGGAAATCACATGTTTATCTTGATATAAAATCCTATGCATGAATTGGGTTTTCAGAGTCATTGTATCACTAAATAGGTGACTACATACATAACCTCATTTTCCAAATGTATATCCTTTTTTAGCAATGTATTATTTATAATGAGTAGTTTTTTCTGATTATAATAATACATTATAATATAAGTAAAGATTATCGGAAATGCCACTCTTGTGAAATTGCCACCATTAGCGTTTTGCTCATCATCCCTTCGTGTGTGTGTGTGTGTGTGTGTGTGTGTGTGTGTGTGTGTGGTTTTACAGAAATGAGATCATAGCATCCTTAGTTTTGTTTTTTTTTTTTCCAACGTTTTTTATTTATTTTGGGGACAGAGAGAGACACAGCATGAACGGGGGGAGGGGCAGAGAGAGAGGGAGACACAGAATCGGAAACAGGCTCCAGGCTC